ACTCTGAGAAACAAATAGGGTTTTAGAGGGGAGGGGGGATTGGTTAGCCCAGTGATGGGTATTAAGGAGGGCACATACTGCATGGAGCACTGGGTGTTATATGAAAACAATGGATCGTGGATCACCACATCAAAAACCAATGATGTATTGTATGGTGACTAACATAATAAAATTAAAAAAAAAAAAAAGACACAGAAAACATAAACCCTAGAGAAAAGATCATAAATTTGTCACCATTAAAATGTAAAACTTCATTCTTGAAAAGATGCTAAGCACAGAGTGAAGAGACACAATCACAGACTCGAAATTGTATGTACATAGAACTGCTAAATAATTATTTTTCAGAATATAAAGTACTTTTAAAATTCACACACACAAAATAACAATAAAAACAATTAAAATGGACAAAAGACATTTCACTGAAGGAGAATCCCAAATGGTTTACAAACAAATGAAAAGATGCTTAACTCCATTACTAATCTGGGAAGACATACATAAGACAATAGCATCCCATTTCACACTCGTTTCATACTAAAATATTATCAAATGCTAGCAAGAGAGTAGAATGACCGAACTCTATATACTACTAGTGGGAACTGTATACAGTACACTCCTATGCACAACTTATACCTAATAAAGCTGTAGTTACACATACCCTAGGAGCCAACAATCCCACTCTTCACATATGCGTCCTAAAGAAAATTACATGTGTGCATCAGGAACCACATGCAGAATATGCATAGATGCACTGTTTATGGAAACAAATAACCTGGAAGCAACCCACATGTCCAACAGAGGGATGGACAAATCACAATAGAGAATGCCAAGGAGACTGAATAAATTACAGCTATGTGCTACAGCATGGAGGCATCTCAGGAATATAATGTTGAGGTGGGAAAGTCACTGGAAAGTCTACCTAAGTAGAATTGTTCTGTGTCAAGTTCAAAAAATGCAATGGTAAACAATGTATTGTATAAGGAGGCAAACCTGTAGTGATATTATAAAGGGAAGCAAGAAAACAGTCAACACAAAATTCATAATAGTAGTTACTCTTGAGAAAAGGAAATGGTGGGAAGAGGAAAAGGAGCTCAGGACATGACCAAGGTCATCAGTAATCAGCCAAATTTAGAATAGAAGCTGCCCCCTGTAGAAAGCATTTCCATCACTTGCCATGTATTATTATCCAGAGACTGTTTTCCTCACAGCTTCCTTGTGGGTCACTAATTTACAGCACCTGTCTCGTCTTCATGGGCTCCTGAGCTTATGACCTTTGCTTTAGAACAGTGGTTCTCAAAGTGTGGTTCCAGAACCAGCAGCTTCAACCTGCCACAAATGCAACTGTTTAGGCCCCACTCTAGATCTACTGTATCCAAACTCTGGGGTGGAGGCCAGCAGTCTGTGTTTTAACAAGCCCTCCAGGGGATTCTGATGCTCACCTTCGAGAACTCTTGTTGAGGACCTGGCCCAACCCCAGGGCCTCCGGGCCTGGTCATTATTCCATTCTGAGTCTTTTTCAGTCCTGCCGTAAGAGGGCTACACTCTCTTCTAATGGAAGCAGTATTCCTTTCCAAGAGCCAGCAGGACCCTCAGCTGCCCCCCATCAGAAGGGAGCCTCCTCCCATTTTTTTCTTGCTCAAGGCCATTTTAGCCATTGTGCTGTGACTGGTTATCTAGGGTCGGAAGTTGACCTCACAGGAGCATTCCTCCTGCTCTGTGCAGGCCCCACGGGGCTCTTGTAGGAGCTTTTTTCCACAATGGGAAGATGAACATTAACAGTAAGGAATATCTATCTTAACAAACTATTAAGTCTGCCTAACAGCAAAAGACGTTAAGATAGGGTGGGAAACAGTTACCTTTTTGTCTCTGCTTCAAGAAATTGTCATTTCTACCTTATTGTAGCTTTTCACAATAGCAGTTTCAGAGTAGCTCCCTTTCTCAGCAACTTAGTACTTCCAAGGCTGAGAGGGGGAAAAAGACAGCAGTCATTCTGAAGCTACTTCTCTGGCCCTGGAGCCCTCCTGCTGATCTCAGAGCCCACAGAAGTGAACAAGACTAAGTGAATTCTAATGCCTGTCTGAAATGCCGGTGCTTCATCTGATAAAGTTCTCCTCGCTCTGTACATTTTTTTTCTACATCAAGCTCTTTTTTTACCCCAGCTATCTTTCTGTATGAATCATTCAGTGTGAGTGCTACATACCAAATACGGACACACTCACCCTATCCTGAATTTGATGTCACTGATGTCAGTTAGGGTGTGAGAAATATTGCGTGCTGGGAAGGCTGCATCCCTGAGCCAAACGCAGTACTTACACCCTCCCCTTATTGACAGATACTGGTTTTGGAAATACAGGCACTAATTCCATGAAAAGGTGGCCTTTAACTGCAAAGAACAGTGTGAAGATAGACAGGAAAGAAGTCCCAATTTTTCTGGAAGTGATAAGATGTAGTAGATAACATACTGGCTAAACCTGGGTTCAAAGCTTGCCTCTGCCCTTTTACTAGATGTACAACCCTGGGCAAGTCTCTTACCTTTGTGTCCTTGTGGGCACAATCAAGACTAAGAGTACCGAAGTCATAGGACTTTTGTGAGGATTAAATGAGATACTACATATAAAGCACCTGGCGCAGTGTCCGGCACCTACTAAGAAGAGAAGGGACATATTCCCAATGTACTTCAGGAAACAGACTCATGTGTGAAGTACACGGGCAAAAAGGAAGAATGAGAGACAAAATGTGTGAGGCACTCGAACAGTCCAGGTTAGAGATGAGTTAGTACACTGAGTAGGGAGAAGTTGTAAGTTAACTGGTCAAATAAGAGAGGGAAGAAGGGGAAAGAGAAGATGGCATGAGGACTGTCACCTGGGCAGGGTGGATGACACAGCAGCACCATTGAGAAGGTGAACAAAGTTGGAGCTGAGCAGAAATCTTACCGGAAGGGAAACTTACACCATAAGGGGAGAGGTATCCACCTGAGTAAAAACCGAAGACATTAGAAAATGCAGGATAAACTGTGTAAGCCAGCCAGACTTTGTGGGAGAAAAACAAAGAAAATAGCACAAAAGCACCCTCATGTTTCAAAAGTGAGAGGATCAAGAGCATGGGAGGAGCTGAACTGAGTTGGATGACGGTCCGAGGCAAGACTGCACTGCACAGATGTCACTCCCTATTGCTCCGGTGTCAAGACCCTCCCCCCGGGCGCCTGGGTGGCTCAGTTGGTTAAGCGACTGCCTTCGGCTCAGGTCATGATCCTGGAGTCCCGGGATCGAGTCCCACATCGGGCTCCCTGCTCGGCAGGGGGTCTGCTTCTCCCTCTGACCCTCCCCCCTCTCATTCTCTCTCTCTCAAATAAATAAATAAAATCTTTAAAAAAAAAAAAAAAAGACCCTCCCCCCTTGTACTGATGGTTTCATGAGAGAAACCACGTGCAAATGAAGTAAAGCATAATTAGAGGCAGAACCACTCAGCATCCCCTTGGTGACGGTCTTGTGAGGAGCCAGTAGGGGAGGGGGATTTTTGCCATTACAAGGGGTGAGGTCAGAAAGGAAAGAATGAGTTCAGCAGAAGTTCAAGCCAGTCTTTCACCACAACTATAGACCTGTCGTTCCTCTTTGGGACTCTGGTTGAGTCACTGCAGGGGAAATGCAGACACCAGTGGAGAAGTGTGAAGAGCTGTCTCTTGGCACCTGTGGGGTGGGACTTGGGGTAACTCAGTGGTTGTGTCCCTACTGGTCAGCTCTTCCTGACACTTACTGAAACCCAAGAGGGTTGGTAAGGAGTGGTGGAAGCAGAACAGGGAGCCAGCAGTTGGTAGAGAGGATGTTGTTCCTCGTTAATATGTTCTAAGTGTCTGGAAGTTGGGGACACACAAATAAAACACAGGAAACTCGTCTGAATCAGAGCCGTTTGAGAGCCATGCTGAGTCTGTGCTTCCTACGTTAGGACACCTCCTTTGTGAACAGAGAAGAGGATCTTCATCCACAGCTATTTGACAATAATATTAAAATCAAGACTATTCAGGGCATGGTTAACATTTTCCCCATTAAATGCATTAGGCAAAGATCTTTCTAAGGAGTATTAGCCTGTTTTGCCATCATAATTAACATGGAGTGTAGCTGATTCACCTTCTCTCCTTTTTTAATTACATATAAGAAAATCCACTCTTTGGGGGTACAGTTATGTGAGTTTTCACAAACACAGAGGGCCATGTAACCAGCACTGCAGTCAAGATACAGAATAGTTGTATCACCAGAACCTCTCCTTCTCATGCTGCCCCTTTGCCATCAAATCCTTTACCCTCTCCATCCCCCAGCAACCAATGATCTGTTCCTCTCTTCTTTTGACAACCAGTTGAGTAAGGCCTGAGATTTCTTTATGATTTCCTGGTATACTAACAATAGTAACAGCAGTAATGGCAATAGTTAACACGTATAATGCATTTCCAATGTGGCAAGCACCATCTGAGGCACTTTATAGATGAGAAAACTGAGGCTTTGAGAAGTTTTGGAAGGGACGAAGAGTCTTGCCGGGGTCAGAGCACGGCAGTCCCAGGGCTTGAGTCAGGCCTGCCTAACTCCTAGGTCCCTTTTTAAAACTCTGATTCTGCTTCTTTCGACAAAGTAGAAGGAATATCTACCAATTTCAGAAAGTGCAGTTGAGACTCGAGATCGCCTTACTCCAAAAATAAACAAAACTTATGTAAGAATTTGGCTAATTATACCAATAAAGCAATAATTGAGTAGATGTAAGATAAAATGAAGCCAGGATCCTAGAACACCTTTCCTGCAATCTTTTCAATATGCAGTGAAGATAAGGCCCAGATAGGTTACTTCCTCCCTGAAAAACTTGACCAGGTTTGTAAAGCAAAGCTGGAAAGATTTCCTGATCAAATACTGAAATGCCATTTTGTGTCAATGCTCTGAGCAGCAACTGCTTCTCAAATTTACCAAAAAAAAAAAAAAAATGAAATGGGGTTTTTAATCTTCATCTTGTGGGTATTTCAGGTTGGAGTCCCCGACCCGGTCTCTGGTGATGGAGGCCCCCAAAGGAGTTGAAATCAATGCAGAAGCCGGCAATATGGAAGCCACCTGCAGAACCGAGCTGAGGCTGGAGTCCAAAGATGGAGAGGTAGGGGTGAGATGGATGTAGGTCCAGAGAGACACAGCGCCAACAAGCCAACCTTCCCCACAACTTTCCCAGACTCCCTTAGCACCAAAGTGGATCCTGCATTTCTAACAAGAGGAGCCAATCAGAAGGTTTTATGTCCGGAACAAATATGTCGAACAGCACAGTTATAAGCCTAACCCACAACATGTAGGAGCGATGACTCATTATTTGTAAAGTGCTGACGTAATAGCATATACTACAATGACAGAATTATGCACATGGCTATGAAAATGAATGCTGCTTCTGAATTCTGTCTCTCACCCAAAAGCAAGATTTACGTAGCCAGCCTAATTAAGCTGTATATCACGTGCATCTGGTTCAAGCTGAACATAATTTACTCATAGTCGCTTGTATGTTACTACTTTGAGAATGGGGAGTGGGAGCCAGCAGCTATGCCCAATCAGGACAAGGCAAAACTAAGATAGGGTAGAGTAGGCAACGAGAGGATGGAGGACTGCACATATTCCTTCTTCTACCCGACATAATCCCACTTTGGTGAACAGAATAGCTGCTTGCCCTTGTGTAGACACGGTAAGCCAAATCCCAAGAAAGTAGGATTAAACTGCAAACTTTTAAAAATGTCTTCATCACATTCAGAAGTGAACCTTCCAATTTAAGAGTTTTTAAATAGAGGAAAAGCTTTGTATTTCTTTAAAGCAAAACTCTATTCCACTTTTCATATCTGCTTAGAGGTTATCCATCTCCACCTGCTTGTGTGCAACAAATCCACCTTTTGATTGGTTTGGCATTTGCTACATTTGTTTTAAAAGAGCTATTCAGATAAAGCATTCTCTTATCAAAATGGTGTCTTCAAACAGCTACAAACTCCAAATCACACACATTTAGAAATAGTGACTACATTACCTATGCAGATTATAGCTCTCAGAATCCGGCCTCTGGAGGAATTGATTATAATCTTACCAGTCGTTTAAGACTGGAAAGTACTGCATATTCCTGGAGTCTTCCCATGCACACAGACCTAGCTGAGAGTCTGAAGGCCCGTAGTAAAGAAATGGTTAACCCAGCATTTCCAAATGCATTTCACTCTGGGACTCAGTTCATATTCTACCTGATACACCGTTGCACACTTTTGCTAATATAGACCAGCATGACATTGTCTTGGTAGAATATAAGCTTCTGTGAGGGTAGAGACTTTATCTGTCATGTTGATCTCTGAATTCTCAGTGCCTAGAATACTCAACACATAGTAGGTGCTCATTTAGGTTGAACATTCATCTCCTGTCTCTGAAGGTCAAGAGAATAAATGGCAGCTTCTAACTACTCTTTCCTTGCTATTCGCTCTCTTTAGATTAAGTTAGATGCTGCGAAAATCCAACTACCTAGACTGCCTCACGGATCCTACACGCCTACAGGAACGAGGCAGAAGGTCTTCGAGATCTGCGTCTGCGCCAATGGGAGATTATTCCTGTCCCAGGCAGGAACTGGTTCCACTTGTCAGATAAACACAAGTGTCTGCCTTTGAGAGACCATCCATAGTGGACATTGTCGGCAGCATAAAGGCCGTTTTTGTCTTTAGATACTGGCTGCCAGCTATTTTTACTAGAACACAGAAAGCCTATCAAAGACCGTGTGCGCGCGTGTGTGTGTGTGTGTGTATGCGTGTGGGTGGATATAAATATATATAAATAGATATAAATAAATATATATATCCTCTGTATAAAATGAGGTTTCAGTACAAAAGGAACCATGGGTGACCCTGTGATATCCACCATCATTTCCATGTCAACCCCACCACCTACATGATAAGATCAAAGTACTGATTCAGGCCCAATACCCCAAACCCTTCAAAAATCACACAGTGTATCGGACACTTACTGAATATTCACCAACATGTTTGAGGAGCTGCATATCTTCCCCTTTAGTGTCATTACAGGGCAGTGATGGCGGGAATCTCCAAGTCATGCTCAAGCACTGAGACCCTCATATTGAAATAGACATTTCGTTTCCATTTTTAGCTTTAGGAAGGCTGGCCCATTTCCCCCTCTTCAAGTGAGGGATGGGGCAGTGCCATAGTGCCAGCTGTAGGAACACAAAATGGCTCTTCTGCCTTCATAGCCAAATGTACTGGGGCTTTTGGATGAATGTGGGGGATGAGGTTCAGCAAAGTTTGAACTGCTCACTGAACTCCTGCTATCTTCCTTCAAAAATCACCTATTATCCCACAGTCAAAATAGGAGTTGTAAATCAGCACAAAATGGGGTAACAGCTGCTCCTCAGTCGGCTGGAAGCTACTCAGTGGCCTGACAGGCAAAGAATAAATGGGTGATGTGTATCTGTTTAAAGGAAAAAATGGCTCAGAATCGGTCTCATCCTCACTTCTGACTTTATCCAGCAGACTCCAGCCCCAAATGATCAGGTCAGTCAAAATCCTGTCCATCAATCCTCAAGAGAGGAACCCCCACCTGAAGAGAAGCCATTTAGGGATAGAAACCTAATTAAGAGGAGCATAGAAAACCTAATTAATTTTTCTATGTATCTCGGGACTGGTAGGTAATTTAGAGACTTGCCTTTTATTTCTAAAGGCATGCACAAACTCTGGCTTCCATCTTCATACGTATATATATATATATTTGTTGTTGGGATATTCCTATTCCTAAATCCACCATTATGTTTTCTCCCAAGAATAGTGACCCAAGAATCACAGATGTGAAATACATGCCCCCGGAAATGGTCACTGGAAATTAATATAAACTGAGCCATGTGTCTCTCTCGGACTCGCTGTGCTCCCGTGGCCCGGCAGCACCACTACTTGGTATGTGGAAGCAGCTCCCTCGTTCCCGCCATCAGCTACCTCTCATCCTTCCACCTTCATCATCGTGCTACAGGGTCACCCTGGCCAGCTCTTGTGCTGGGACAGGGGATTACACCGTCTCTGTTCAAAGAGGGGGAAATGTGCCTATGCCTTAAGTCAATGCACTCAGCAAGGAGAAGCACATCCTATTTATCTTGTCACAACTGTAGTTTATTTTGGGTGATTAGAGGGGAACGGTTTAGTCATGAGTGGGCCTCTTAAAAGCTGGTAGACAAACCAGTGGCTGACAGAAGTGGACTCTCAGGAGCCCAAATGGAGGCGTAACCGGCTTAGATAGTCCCGGACACCATTTGGCAAGCAGCAGCCCCACAACCCTAAATGAGGTCGTATTTGTAGGCCTGAATGGCATTTGTGTTTTCTTCAACAAGGTTTTAATTTTTCTTACTTCACAAGTGGGGGAAGATTGGTCATAGGAAATGAATAAGAGATTTGATATTTTTGAGAGGACACTCAAGCTTTGGAGGCTGAGTCTACAAAGGATATGAAAGCAAGTTGTGTGTCACTTAGTTACTTAGGAGAGGGTGGGGGCCGGAGAGGGGGAGGTTTCCTAGCCTGACCAGTGGCCCCGCTGGCTTCCAGACCCCATACTCCCTCCAGTCACTCCTCCTCAGTATCCCATGTAGAATTGAGTTGTTCAAGGGCAAGGCTACTTAGTTAGTAGCAGTAAAGTCTAAAAAGGAAAACCCTAAGAAGGTATCAAGTTGCTCTGGTTTGGTATTATTTATATCCTGTAGGATCATACTACCAGAATCTGCAGGTACTACATACGGGGTTTTGCCAAATAGGAGAGGCCCCCCTTGGCTACGAGGAACATAAACCCCATGTCATTGAGACAAACAGTAGTAGCTATGAGGCCCTTCATGGCTAAATACCGTAACACAAAATGTTTTTAAGCAGACAGACCCATCTTTGCATTTTGCCATCTCAAGTACATAATCTATGGATGACAAGAAAACAAAAAGTTCCCTGAACCTCTTTCCTCTGATTTTGTTCTAATCATCATAAGCAAGTCTGAGATCAGCACCTTGGGGATTTTATGCCAATAAAAAAGAGTGATGTGATCCCACTTGCAGACGTTAATCCTAAAGGTAATCAGATCACAAATAAGATAAAAATAATAATAGCAAGCCAAGAATAGAAATCAAACACCTATGGGGAACAGACATGATAAAAAAAATTCTGATTTTCATTTGTACTAAGTGACTACAATAAACCAGCTAATAGGCAGGAAACTTGGCATGGACTAAATTATGTATTTCAGTTCAGACTACAGAAGTCAGTAAAATGCATTCAGAGTTCCTCAATGTACATTTTGTTCTCCCAACTTCCTCCAACTAGAATATTTGTCCATGGTCATGAGAGAGTTTTAATTCTGGGAAAAAAAATATCTTTTACATTAAAATCTGATAAACTTTAATTTTAAAAAGTGAGGTTCTTTCTAATCTCCATATATAATATCTTCTAGACAATCACACTCCAGTATATTAAACAGCAGGTGGCGTAACAAAGAGTTCAAGTGAATCAATATTCTAGAAGTTCTAGTATGCTAATAGTCTTCAGAAGATTTTTAAAAATTAAAAAGTGATCTCCAAATATGTTTAGCACTCAGTTCTATTTGTTATCTGTTCAATAAGTCATAAAAGTTCAGTCTTAAGAAACTGCTAGCATATGACAAAGGTTTTCAAAAGCCCTTATGGTGACATCTCTGTAGGTAGAAACTTGGTATGAGGCTTTCTAATTGTTCCTTTACCCAAGGGATAGATCTTATAAACTTGAATTGGCTTTAACTCCCTTTAGGTCAATTTCCTTTGGATGATTTTCATTGTATATCCAGCAACCATAGACCAAAGTTTGCTTAAAGTTTAACTCTAGAGCAGGGGTCAGCAAACTGTGGTCCCTAGACCAAACCTGGCTCATCACTAGTCTTTGTAAATAAAGTTTTCTTGTAACACAGACACATTTCCATGTTGTCTGTGACTGATTTCATTCTATAACAACAAGGTTGGGTAACTGTGCCAGAGACCTCACGGCCTGAAAAGCATAAAATACTATTTGGACCTTTCCAGAAAAGGTTGCCGACCCCAACATAGAGATCATTTGTGCTATGTGTTGGACACAGCTGGAAAGAAAGCAAACTCCACAGTAGCATGGAGTCACCCTACATTTCTATGTGTGCTTAGGAATATAAATACTTGCCTAGAGAAAAAAGGTTAGCCTTATGTTATGCGTAAAAGTGATCCGCTTATCTGAGAAATGCAGGTTCACAGGATTTGGGGGGAAAAGGAGGATGGAATCAGGGGAAGACTTAGTGCAAAAGGAAAGCCGTGATCCTCCAAGAGTTTTTTTCTTAGGACCCTTAACAGAGAGGTGGTTCCTCGGGTCAGTATCTTGGAGGGTCAGAAGAGAAGCAGAGGTCTTATGATTTAAATTTAGAATCTTTCTCCTGAAGGGACCGTTTCTGCAATGTCATAGGTTTTCCACCTCACCATCACATATTCCAGAAAGATGCTCATTCCATGGTCCTCCAGAGAATATTTTTGACCTAAAAGGCCCTGTGGACATCCATCAACTCAGTTATTTACACCTCCAGTGCATTCTCCATCCCTATGTCCCCACCCGGCCTGAAGGGTTCATGGGACAATAATATTGGAAGAATAATAAATATTGAGGGGAGGGGAGAAATACTGGAAGCAGCATCTTAAAATATGTAGGAAGAAAAAATACAGTAAACATCTTTTTTGAAGGTGTTTAGTGGGGAAACCAGATCAATGCCAGTTTGATTTTGTTTCCAATAATTTGGATCCTTGTTCTATGGTATAGCAGGAATGCAAAAGAAAAAAAAAAAAAAGACCTATTTTAAATTCCAACATCTCTGCCTGTGTCATAAGGCAAGTGCCTACCAGAGATTTGTCCCTTCAGTCAACATCCCTACTGCTAAATCCATACTTATATCCAATATTATTAAAACAGCATCAGCAATGAATGAGTCTTTGTTAGCATGAGTGTTCGTGTCAGAAAAGATTTTTTTTTTTAATGAAAACCACCACCACCATTTACCAGACCCTAATCAATGTCACTTAAAGAGCCCTTTTGCATTTTATCTGGATTAAACCGAAAGAGGATTAAATTGGCAACACTGCCATCCACAGAAGCAGCTACATGAGAGTATCTGGCTTTTGTTGATTTTAGGCAAAAGATAGCATGATGTTTGGACCACAGAGGTGAACAGATCCCTGTAAGCACCTGATCCTTATTTTGTAAGGCTCCGTGAAAGGTGAGAATCTCACTTAAGTAAGTTGTAAACAAGACAAGACCCTTCGCTCTTTTTCCCCTGCACCAGGAAATCTTAGGCACAAAAAGGATAACAAAGCAGTTCCTGGAATGATACATTTGCATGGTGGCCCAGTAGCAGGTGGAGGGGGGCAAGTTATAATAAAAGAAACAACCTTAGAAAACACACCTTTTATCTCAAAGATAAAAATGTCTCTCTTTTGGTCTCTCATCACTTTCTCCTCCTCGGGGGAAGGTTCCCTCACTTCCAACATATTTCCATTAAAATAGTCAAAACTACTGCATTGGGATGTCAGATGCATCTCTTTCTTTGTGGCAATCTGAATTTAAAATTAAACAGTCGCCTCTGAATTTCTCATTCACAAAGCTAAACCCACTGACGAGAGATAAAGCAGTCTGAAGCCTGCTGCTTCAGCCAGCACACCACACCACACACATTAGCACTTTGAAAAGCAATGGGATTTCTACAGTTCTTAAAAGCTGTCTTCATAACGGAGTCCTTGAAATTTCTCAAGGCAGGGCTGAATGGCAAAGGGAAAATCACTATTTGCGGGAAGTCCTTGTTTTGAGTATTGTTAGAGCACAAGTGTGAAAGAAAAATCTCCAGTTTAGGGTGACCCAAGCTCACATATACTATTTGCTTTGGTTTTACCTGCCCCCCCCCATAAACACACACACACACACACACACACACACTCTTCCTGTTACAGATCCTGACAGAGTAGGAAGTTAGCATCTTCCTTTGAGAAAAGAGAGCAATCCCAGAATGCTGAGCCCTTTGATGCAAGAGGCGGTGTGATGTCCTAACAGCGTTGACGGTATCAAATCCATCACTAAACAGTCTCTGCAGTCCCAACGGCAATGCTCACTGCTCCTCCTCCATCACAGCTCAGCAAGTGCTAATAGCAGTTCCACATCTGTGAGTTTGGCAATTGGACTAGAACAAAGGAGAACTTGCTGTAGGCAAAAAATATATTTAGAGTCCAAATCCACCTGTCTATAGAATAGGAAGCCAGAGTAGCCCAAAATGCCCCGTTAGGCATGTAGACACCCTCAGTAGCAAATGAGGGGGTTTGGTTTCATCACTGAGCACTAGCTGAGGTCAGGTAAATACAGCAACCATGAAGATGGAAACATCTGTTTTACCTCAAAGTTACTCTTCACGTACTAGGCTAGTAGTCCTCCTACTGCCAATGTCTTCACAGCCTCCTTCTACATTTGGGTTATGTTGGTGGAATCAGAGTTAGCTCAGACTTCATCATGTGAAAAATCCCCAGCTGATCAGTTAGGTTACATACGAGCAGTATAGCAAAGGAGTGTCCTAAGGCAGGAGGATGGTATTTGTTGACAAGGAAGATGCTGGTGTATCAGTCCCCATATTCATCCAATTCAGGAGATTCTAAATTTGGGGGTTATAGGTTCTTTTGAGAATCTGAGCAAAGTTCTCAACCTTCTCCCCAAGAATTGCACCCACAAAATTTTACATAAAATCAAAGCAATTTTCTTGAACCTGAAGCCTACTTTAAGATATGGCAAAAGTTGAATTCTATTCTCCAATAATAATTTTTAACTGATGTTCATTAAGCACTATATGCTAGGCATTGTGCTAAGTGTTTTATGTGCATTCACTTATTTCACCCTCAACACAATCCTTTGAGTTAAATTCTATTATAGTTCCAATTTACAGATGTGGAAACTGAGGTTTAAAGAGATTAGGAAACCTGCCCAAAGCCACTAGCTAGATAATGGCAGAGCTAGGATGTGGGTCTAACTCCAACCCACTATGCAATGAAGTCATCAACATGTCAAACTATTTTTCAAGCTGTTGAGAAGTGTCTCCTACCAGCTTTGAGACTAGACCTTCTTGGCTCAATGAAGATATAAAACTTTTATGTCCCTTCTCTTTATAGTCTCTCATCCATGACAGCATCTAGTACTAAAGTAGAGATACCTGCAGTGAAAATATAAGTGATCTGTCTGAACAATAGAATCTGGAACCAGAAAAAAAAATTTGTTTGTGTGCGATCCTTGTTAAGTCAGACTTCTTGTCCTTACAAATTGAAAGATGCCTGGGTTGTCAGCCGTACATTTAAGAGAAAATTGTAATTCTCAGTGATCTATAGGCATGCGCTAAACAAGCCAGCATTTCTGCACACATACATCTCCTTCTCCTATTCCTCACTTCAAAAGACAAATATCTTATTTTAGGTCAGGCCTTGGTTATCCTTCCTGACCTTTACTTGTAGCAAAACTTATGGGAAGAATCAAGTATAAGGGAGCTCAGTCTCTGTTGTCCCTTTTCCCTTTAAGAATATAGGACTATCAAGGACTCAGCATTATGCATTCAATACCCAAGCTGGCCACGTTGGCTCTAATAATAGCTAGAGAACCATACCCCATACCTTGTCAATCATCACTAATGGGCCATACCCCTCTCCATGAGCAGAAATTCTTCTTGCCAAAGCATTCAGGCCATCACTACCAATTGATCGGAATAGGAAATAGGACCCATTTGCCAATTCTTGTTTAAACAGTGGCTCCCTTTAACCTTAAACCTATAGATTTTAACTGGTGTCCTAGATTCAGCAATGAGGTTGGTGGCATTCCAGCTACTAAAGGAGAAGATGAGTACATCTTCTGAGCAAAAGGACTAGGGTTTGATATATAAGAGTTAAAAGACCTAAAATAATTTTGAAGAATTAACTCAGCCAGGAACCATCTGAACAGATTATAAAGCAGTGTGCCTGTGTTAAGGTCCTAGTGTCATTCTGCCCCCACCCAGAGCTCAGAGACCACAGCAGCAGAGAGACTGGGGTTCATCCTGCTTTTCTTGCTTGCTCAGCAGCACGTATGTGATCCACTGGGGGTTGGAGACAGAGCTTCCCACTGTACCCCAACAGACAACAGCCCCAGTGCCAGCCATGGTCCTATAATACTCCTCTGGCTCAACCACCCTATAAAACCTGAGTAAAGGCATGAGCTCAAAAATGTCAAAACCCTGTTCAGGGTAAGTCATTCAGGAATTTTCTTTTACTGGTGTTATGTGTCCGATTGGCAAATCAAAAACAGGTACCCTTAATGAGTCTCCGGGAACAAACATCACCAGAGCCAGAAATCAGGTTCTCTGTTAAGAAGGGGAGATGTAAGCAAAGTACAGGGAAGAGTTGGCACACCTGAATTAGGGGTGGACACAAAATTAACCTAATTTGTATCCAGTGTTTTGGTGAGTAGGGGGATGGAGTTTTTATGCATTAGCCACATCCTCAGTCAAGTTTCTCCCTTTTTGAGGACACAAAGAAGGAGAAGCACATCCCTTAAGGAGGGCATGTTTTAAAAGGCAAAGGTAGAGGACATCCATCATTGTGCTAGCTAGATACACTCCTGGAGAAGCCAGATTCTGGTGCTTTTAACAGAAAAGATGAGGTCGTAGAAGTCCCATTTGCTTGGAGATTTTGAAAAAGGAACCCCATTCCCATAAAGCAATTGAGTTCAGCCTTTGGGTTATTTTGGGGTTTATTTTTCTCTGGGTTTGGGTGTGATGTAAGAGGAAGAGCTTTTTAGTTTTGTTTTAAGTAACATCAATCCTTGCACACTCTATGCAAAAATTTTGTAAGCATTGCAATAATGCTATGAACTATAAGGAACTATTTTAACTTTATTACACTTTCTGTATAAAAAATTTGTATTTAATATTATTTCAACTGCAGTCTTGTAAAATATATTAATAAAAATAATGATTGGTAAGAAGGAAAGCACCCTTGTCCACTTCTTTAGGGAATTCCTCTTTCACAGTTGTTAAGTCAGTCACTCCTATTGACTCTACCTCAGAAATAAATTTTCAGATTAACTTCTCTTCCGCATTTCTTTCATCAGTGGCCTGACATGTTGGCTATCCGGAAGAGATTCACACAAGCTGCCCCATAAAAGAGAGCTTATTTTAAGTTAATACATGGCCTGGAATTGGGAAGAGTCCCCAGGATTTGGAGCAGGTCAGGAAAACAGCCAGCCTCTACAGCTCTCCTAATGACCTGCATAGGTACTTTTGCTGCATTTTACTACACCCCTCTTTGAATCAGTGAAGAAGCCTATCTGACTGGTCAATTTTAGGTAAAACCTCTTTAATCAGGTTACCTTAGCATTCCTGGTCAGCCTATGGATGAGCCACCTTTGAGCCAGGGGCCCACTCTTGGTCTAATCAGCTTTCATCGTCATCCAAAGAATATCGTAGCATTGCTACCCTACATGGGGCCATGAGTGAAACAATATATGCTAGAAGGCATTTTGGCAAAACCACTCTAATCTACCCATCACAATCAATCCTCCATGTTGGGCACGTCACATCTCCTGGCCTTCCACAATGCTGAGTTTTGCACATACTATTCCATCCACCTAGAATGCCCTTCCATCTAGCACCTCCCCACCCCAGGATATCATCCTTCAGGATCCTATTCCCTTATCATCTTGGCTCAGTGGCCTTCATCCTTATTCCTCAATTCCCCTATTAATTTGTTCTGATTTCTTCCATAATTCTACATTGTACTATGCTTTATCTATTAACCTATCAACCTGGGACCCTAGAATGCTTATATTCATTTTTTAAAGTTTATAAAAGAGTAATGACATACCTAAATTGATCCTCATGTTATAAGATAGAGAAGTCATTTCCTCATCTAGAAAATCTAAGATAATTTTACATATCCAATACATGATAGAATGAGTGTCCATTCTCAACCATATTTTCATGGTAGGTTACAGGTCATGAAATTTAGCTCCTGATTACAAATGACACTAAAGCAGCATTACAGAATCCTCAAGGTAAAAGACTATAATAAAAATTTCATTCCCAGGCAGGGTGAAATTTATCTGGGGGTGGGGGGAGTGGGAATATACCAGAAAAAATATATATAAATCAAAGAGAATGAAATCAGAGAAATCACCCTTCAAGAGACCTGATGCATTGATGGACAAAACGTTCAAGTGTCCCTAAAGCAATAAACACTAATGAAAGGGAAAGGCTATTACTGATGAGTCAAATTAACTGACTTAATATTGATACAAAATTAGAAAGCAGAAGAAATACTAGGAAGCTAAAAAGAACCCTATTCCTTTACTTCTTTGAAAGAAATATTTTTAAAGTGGCAAATCGGTATAAATCAGCAACTTTTACATTTCCTCCGATCTTGACTCCTTTAAAAAAGATGTGAGGTTCTGTAACCCACTTAATAACCCAGCCTTGCTTTGTCAAAGGGAATAAGCCCAAAGGTAAGGAACAGGGATCACCGTGCAGAGACACGAACACATTGTGAACAACAGGTTTGAATCAGCTTCTCTAAGTCTGATGACAGGTTAATTTTAGTTGGTGAATGCCAAATTTTAATTACCCTCAATAACACCAACCACTTAAAGTTGATGATTAATTTACAGCCCCCAAGGAAGACTCTCATGACCTATCAATGGACAGATCAGGCTTCAGAACGTCCTAGCACAAGTAATCAAACATGATTGTAGAATACTTATGAGATATTTCAAGATAACTCTTACTAGAATTTAAAGTGGGTATCTGAAATGTGAGAATAGAATCTTCCAAATTATATTTTCATAAGACGTAACAATTTTGAAGTGGCAAAATTTAGGAAACAGATACTAAATCAAAGTAGAAGCTGTCACACTAAATCATCTGTTTTAATCTATTACCGGACCAAGTCAAGGATTGCATTTCAAAACAGTTTGGGCAAAATTAAAACATACAACTCAAATAAAAGGAAAATCTTTTTTTTCTAAGTAGGCTTTATGGTAAAAGGCATTAGGAGAGAGTCAGATGAACAATATATGATGATGAAATTAGTCTTACTGATAGACATGATTAAACCATTATACTGAGCAGACAAGTAATAAAAGCCAAAAATCCACAACTTTGAAATATAAGAATAAGAAGAAAATTGACAAATATAACTGCAATGGGAATTTTGTTCCACTTTTTATCTCCTAACTTGCAACTTGACAAAGCATAAATAAATGACGATGCACACACTCTCTTACACATGGCATCAAAGAAAGCAACTGCTCTTTGACAGCCCACGATCATATAAAAGAAAGAAATATAATCTCAAAATGAAAAAAATTAATGTCATTTTTCTTTTCAGGCTATATTCTCTGAACACAGAAATAGAGGATATATTTTATATTACCAGAAATTCCCAGGAATTTCTGAACTGAAAATCTAATCCGTGATTTGAGAAAGGAACACAGCCTATTTAAGTATTAATAATTGAAAACACTAGAAATTATGAAATTTGGCCAAAGCAGACTTCTGACATGATAAAAGCATTTAAACATATCAACCAAGAAATGAATTAACAAAGTATTCAACTTAAAATGTGAGAATAATCAACAAAAGAACAAAAATCAACAATATAAAGTGATATAAATAATTCTAAATCTTACCTCTTAAAAAAATTGAAAAAATCTAAAACCAACAAAACTGTTCAGAAAAATTGAAAACATAAATATAAGTTTGAGGCACACATGTAAAATTTAAAATATATTCTAGCATATTTTATAGCAACATGTTTTTTCCTTATGATAAAAAATAGAAAAACTTCATGAAATGTACAATTTTAAAAAATAACCAAAATTAACAAAGTAAAAGAAATTAGTGCTGGTTTCTTAAGTACAAGTAAAATAGTTTTGTGTAGGAAATTCTATCCAAGATGTAACTTTTCTGCTATTAAATAACAAATTATTGCATATATTTTATTTATAATATACATGCAAACATATATTCAAAAAGTTATGCACACAGGAAAAATACCATGAGATCTGCTGTAACCTATGCAAAAAACATAAAAAACTTTGAGAGAGCTAAATCTAAAATGAAGAGACCAACTCTTAGCTGAATAGACTAACATTGGAAAGATTTTGTTTTCCTTCAGGTTAATTTACACATTTAACAAAATTCCACCAAAATCCCAACAGAAATTCTCTGGGAAGTGAACAAAATAAACCAAAGTTTATTGGGCAAAATAAAATAGGAAAAAAAAGTTAAGGAATATTCTCTCCAAAAGGCACTAAAATGAAGGACTATTTCAAAGCACAAAATAGCAATAATGAAGCTAATGATGTTTCAAAACCAGAAACACAGATCAGTTACATTTAGTATTATTTCCCTGTTAGGAAAACACCCTTCTCATTTCTTTATCTGCTCATTCAGCTCACAAATGGGCAATCTTGACAATGAAACAAACAGCTGCAGATATAAAATAACCAGTGATGGGGTGTACTTGGTGTCAGGGAAGCAGATAGCTGGAATGCTATTACAAACCAACGAAAATTGCACCTATTATTTGATTGTTATTGGGAAAACTGATCAGCAAATTTTCGTGTGTGGGTAGGGAGAGGGATCTTTAGAGTTCCACCTTAAGTCACCTCCAGTGGACCAGAGTTAAATATATTTGCTCATCTAGCATCTATTAAATGTTATTCTCTTCTAAATAAGTCACACACTCTCCTTGCCCTTGAATATCTCAGTCTAGCGGAGTGGACGGAGATCTAAAAAGGCCAATTACAACATAGTATGAAGAGTTGTGAAAAAGATAAGAAAAAATAACCAGAGATTGAATAACAACCTACCCATGATCAGAGGAAGAATGACAAATGAAATTGCAAAGAGGAGATCAGACTAGAGAACTGAACCATATGCAATTCTATAGTTCTTGCTTCCCCTGCCCCATCCCCAAACACAAGAGAACTTTTTTTAGAAAAAGAATAATAGCAGGAAATAGGAGAAATGGTTAAAAATTTTGTGCTTTTAGGAGTTCAAATTAATAAGAAAATCAAGACACCACTAAATAAGTGAACAAAAGAGATAATAAGCACATTATTCACACAAGCAAGATATATACACTGTCTTCATTTTAAAACCCTGGAAGATGTAACAGAGAATTAATAACCACTTTTCAAGGAGAACAAAAGAATGCCTACTATATTAAATATTTATCTTGACTGTAAAATACAATCTGATTTCAGAAATGTTAAAAAGTCCAACTTAGATCCTACTAAATAAAGTATGGTTAAATCTATCAAATAAATGTGGTTAAACATGCTCATACCCTTGGCTAAGAAAATGGAATTAAATCAATGAGATTTTTTTTTAACCTACCAGATGGGTTAACCAGTGACCATTTTGAGGGCCCTGTAATAAGGCTGTGTTTTATACTCTATGGTTAACCCTACAAGGTAGATATTATCTCCATTTTACAGAAATAATGTTCAAAGACATTAAGGAATTTGCCTGTGGCAATTCTACTAGCAAATGTCAAACCTGAGTTTTAACTTCAATTAAAATACTTTCCACTTTATGAAGTTACCTACATGTGCTATACTGGAGCAGTAGACATTGGTATACACTTCCAAAAAGTAGAAGGGTATAAAAATGTTCATGACCATTAGCCTAGTAATCCCATTTTCAAAATTTATCCAAGCAACAGTATTTAAATAGAAAAAAATTGTTGGCAGATTTGAATTTAAAGATGGGAAAAAATTAGCAACACTACCTAACCAGGTAGATCATGGTTATTTCAACTTTATGAAATATCATGCTGCCTTTAAAAACAGTTGTAAGGATTTTGTTTCAGTATGGCAAAATATAATGTTAAGTATATAAAAATGTTGTATAAACATAAATCAAGACTTCTAGAAAAACTGAAAAATGAAGCAAGCTGATTTATTTGGATGGTGGCATTATAGGTATATT